ATAGTGGCAATATTGTGCCTCTTGCAGAAAGCCAGCATGATCTACAGTGATCTTACTGAACTTCTCATATGTCATTCCCTCTTCTTTGGTGCGGGGATAAAGTTGTGTCGTCAGGGGATCAGGGAGTGCTCTAGTGAAGTTATTCAGGATCTGCGCTGGTGTTTGTCCATGATTTCGGGCATTGCAGCAATTCATCCATTGTGACCTTGAGGGCTGACGCACTCTTCCATTTACGATCACTTAAGGATCAAAGACTCAGTCCTACGGGCCAGGTTCTTATCTTCGAACCTTTCTCTAAGGGCTTTGAAGAAGTCTTCGATCCGCATCTGTTGAGAATATTCAACCATGGTTGCGCAGCCAGCCTCTTTCATTAAAGAAATGGCAAAACTCATTGCGTCCCCTGCCATACATGAACTTGCCATTAACACCCGGTCCCAGTACGGAATCTTCTGCGCGTACAGGTATGTTCCCATAGCAGCTTCCAAATGAAAAATACTTTCTTCCTTCTTCTCGTTGCAAGTCCAAAGCAGTTTCACTTTCATCTTCTGCTTGGCTTCCTCCGCTTCTTCATTCTTCTCTTTCTTGCCTCCCTTTCCTTTCCTATCCCCATCATCACCATCATCGCCTCCATCTCCTCCCCCGCCTCCAATCCTCAATTGTTTAAGCACGGCGGGATCTTTAAGCCTCTGGCAAAGTGCTTCATCTAACTGTTCCACATAATCGTGGACTCGCAAATCAATCTGTGGCGAGGCAGTATTCAGGAAACTGTTCCAGGTATCAGTAAATTCACCCTGCTGCGCCTCTACTTTGGTTACGGTCAGATGAAGTACGGCGAGTTGATCGTTGGTATGGAGGAGGGTATCACTGAGAAGGGTAAGTCTCTCTTCTATTTCGACTTGTTTCCCTTTCTGTTCTTGCAACATCTGTCGCAATCTCTCTCCCTCCTCTTTCATTCTCTTCTTCTCATCAAACTATTTTCTCCTTTCTAGCAGCATGCGATTATGCAAGCTTGCTCTCTTCTCCTCCACCAACAACCGTTTCTCTGCCTCATCCTTCACTTCAAACAACAGTTTGAGGAAAGCTTCCTTCTCTTCCTCGTTTTCCTCTAGCAGCTCCTTCTGTAATCCAAACTGGCCTAGTCAGTCCATTGCCTCCAACTGGCGCACCCGTATGCCACCCATATGATTGCTCTCAGTCTGGTCCGCCCGTGGTTGACCTCTCCTCCTTTCCGGCCTTTCTCCCACATCTTCTTCTTCTTCTTCTTCTTCTTCTTCTTCTTCTTCTCTTTTCAATTCTTCCATCAACTTCTTTTCCTTCTCCTTCATCTCCTTCTCCAACTTCTCTTTTTCTTCTTGCAACTTCTTTTTCACTTCCTCCTCCTTTTTCTATATCTTTTCCTCTTTTTCTTTCTTCTTTTCTGCTAAGCGGCGACTTACCTCAGCCTGTTCTTCAACTGTTTGGGCCTGTGTCGACTTCCCAGACCTCAGCACAGCACGAGAGAAGAGGGTTCTTTGAAACCCAAGAGGAAAGATGAAACGAAGGAGTGGTCCCCATAGTACAGACAGGGACAGAAGTGCGAACATAGAATAATCATCCATGGTGATCAAAGGCACAGGTAGTCACCCTCCACCTACTCACCACTTAGACCTACCCCTGAAACCTGCTACTAACTACTAACTTATGAGTGGGTTTGTCTGTTACTGTGCAATGACTTGCTGTTTCCATGCTGCCTGTAGCCTCACTCTGACGAGGCTGTACTCTAGGTAGGGGTAGATTCATAATTTTGTTTGGCTGAGGGCTAACCGCGAGACCTGCCTGTGTGGGAAATTCGTGAGGGACATACTTGTAAATATAGAAATATGGCCCTGTACTAACCCGACTTTCCTAACAGCGACCCTAACTGCAAATAGCAGGCCCGGGCTACCCCTAGGACAGACAGGCCCTGTGGGCCTATGCTGATAGACGGTCCTATAGCCGATAGTCGGGTAGGAAGAGGCCCTAGAGGCCGAAACTGAAACGGTACCGGTCGGTCAGTCAGTCCGGTCTAGGTCGGTCTAGGCTAGAGTAGAGTATAGATAGGATGGGGACATCGGACCTGGGCTTTGGGCAGTTGACACTTCGTGGTGGAAGTTGCTGCGCACACGGTATCGGTTCGTGGTTGCTGATTCCGGTGTGGACACGGCGGACATAGCCGGACCTTCGGAGCGTTGACCAGACTGGGGTCAACGCTGTCCGCTCTGACTCTCTGGGAGTCATAGCGGTCCGGGCTACTGAGGTCTGATGCGTTGGAGCACGTGGTGCACTGCTGACCCTCCTCAGGAGTAGGGTCCCAGTGGTGATGCAGCCATAGCTGCATCTACTCAGAGATATCATCGTCCGGACTTCATCTTCGTCAGGGACTGTTAGCGCTGAGCTTCTTCTTCATCATCGGGATGGCGATTGGCTCTGGGAGCCTGTTTCACTTTGGCGCAGGCCACTGAGATGCTGTCAGGGTGGCGCTGGGTGTTACCTGGGGTTTCGGTGCTATTTTTAGCTGTTCAGGGTGTTGGGTTTGAAGCGCTACCCCCCCCTGAGGGTAGCGCAACAGGGTTCTGAGGTTATTCAGTGAAAACGGTGCTCTGAGTTTAATAAACAGTTGTAATACTGTGTTTGAGTTGTCATCTCTTCATTGTTTTCTGGCTGTGATCACTCGGTTGTCTTCTATGCATGATTGTTGGGAATTGAGTGGAGAGAATTCACTGTCTGTGTTTTCTGTCACTTCGCTCCCCTGAGTCTTCCGCTGCGTTTCTTCTTGTTGGGCGGTGTGATACTCCACTACCTCTCCCCTTCCTTCTGTGCATGTATGGGCGTGTACGGGAGTTCCTGTGAGTGAGTGCTGATAAAATTTAGGCAGACAATCATGTTCATAACAACTGACTGTCGTGTACCTTTCCAGAACTATTTATATGTATATATACCTTTTTTTTTTTACGATTGGACTGGTTCCTAGACTCAACTATATCACGAGATTTGATTGAGCCCAGCAGCTGCGACACCAAGATTGGTAAGGTACCAAACATCAAGACAAGTCAGCAAGCAATACAGGTTTTAATTGAGGGATGCACTTCACTCAGATAAAATCCACTGATGAAGCTCCATGGCGGCTCCAAAGCTCCAACGCAGCAGCGACAGGTACGTATTTAGGCCACTTCTTCTTCGGCCTTCTTCTTCCCACCCTTCGTCAGTCTTCTCCCCACTCAACTCACTCTCTCATCCCCCTTCTCGCCGGCCTTAATCGTTGCCAGCGATGATCAGTGGGTGCAGCGAGCAACTGCTCCGATACCAGATTGCAATGAACCTCCCAATTCAACATCAGTGAATGCACATATTCACACCACAGACATGTATGAGTTCACACGAAATTCACACTGGAGACCAGAGAGATGAAGACCAGGTAGCACAGCTTTAAAATTCCAACAAGTTACACAAGAGCAATAAGAGTTCCAAGTCACCAGCGCTCATCAGCACTTGTCAAAGGTAACAAATATCCAGCACAACTCTCAGGTAAGATTCTCTTCTCCCACTGCTCTTCTCCCTCTTGTATCTCCCCTCCTTATTAGTCTTCTCTCCAGCTACGTCCTCGCTGAGTCTTCTCTCACTACATGCATGCACACTCACTATCTACCACTTCATGGATCTACTCTGAATAAACCTACTGTCAACCCTACTAACCCCTCTGGAGTCTACTACTAACAACTAGCACTAACACTTCTGCACTGGYGCAGCTATGGCTGCCTTCTCCCTGCCAGCGCTATCTTCCTCTCTCTCTCTCTCACTTAGCGCAGCACTCTGGCCTCAGCGCTCTGCTCCTCACTTCAGCGCACAAATGCACCAGCACTTCCACACTGCTTGAGAATGAGCAATCTGCCCGAATGTGAGGCTGGCCAGTACTTTTGTAGTCTTAGTTTGCACTTCAATTTGTGCCAGCCTCTGTTTCTTGGGTCCTGTCTGGTTCYGGTACCACATCCCCACGGCCTGTCTGCTACTGAATGTCAAGGCCTGGAACCTTCCCGAATTTCCATTGGACTGCTGCTGCTTGGGCCCTTGAGTCATGACTTTTCACTTGTGAAC